ACTTTTTGCTGGAATGGAATTCTTCTTCATCCTCATCCTACTTCTTCCTCTTCTTTTTCTTCATCCTCATCCTACTTCTTCTTCTTCATCCTCATCCTACTTCTTCTTCTTCTTCTTCATCCTCATCCTACTTCTGCTTCTTCTTCTTCTTCTTCATCCTCATTCTTCTTCTTCTTCTTCTTCTTCTTCTTCTTTATCCTCATCCTACTTCTTCTTTTTCTTCATCCTCATCCTACTTCTTCTTCTTCTTCTTCTTCATCCTCATCCTTCTTCTTCTTCTTCTTCTTCATCCTCATCCTACTTCTTCTTCTTCTTCTTCTTCATCTTCATCCTACTTCTTCTTCTTCATCCTCATTCTTCTTCTTCTTCTTCATCCTCATCCTACTTCTTCTTCTTCTTCATCCTCATCCTACTTCTTCTTCTTCTTCATCCTCATCCTACTTCTTCTTCTTCTTCATCCTCATCCTACTTCTTCTTCTTCTTCTTCTTCTTCATCCTCATCCTACTTCTTCTTCTTCATCCTCATCCTACTTCTTCTTCTTCTTCTTCTTCTACTTCTTCTTCTTCTTCTTCTTCTTCATCCTCATCCTACTTCTTCTTCTTCTTCTTTTCATTCTTCTTCTTCTTCTTCTTCTTCATTCTTCTTCTTCTTCTTTTCATTCTTCTTTTCATTCTTCTTCTTCTTTTCATTCTTCTTCTTTTCGTTCTTCTTTTCATTCTTCTTCTTCTTCTTTTCATTCTTCTTTTCATTCTTCTTCTTCTTCTTTTCATTCTTCTTTTCATTCTTTTTCTTCTTCTTTTCATTCTTATTCTTTTCATTCTTCTTCTTCTTCTTTTCATTCTTCTTCTTTTCATTCTTCTTCTTCATCCTCATCCTACTTCTTTCTTCTTCTTCTTCATCATCCTCATCCTACTTCTTCTTCTTCATCCTCATCCTACTTCTTCTTCATCTTCTACTTCTTTTCTTCTTCTTCTTCTTCTTCTTCATCCTCATCCTACTTCTTCTTCTACTTCTTTTCATTCTTCTTCTTCTTCTTTTCATTCTTCTTCTTCTTCTTTTCATTCTTCTTTTCATTCTTCTTCTTCTTCTTTTCATTCTTCTTCTTCTTCTTTTCATTCTTCTTTTCATTCTTCTTCTTCTTCTTTTCATTCTTCTTTTCATTCTTCTTCTTCTTCTTCTTTTCATTCTTCTTCTTTTCATTCTTCTTCTTCTTCTTTTCATTCTTCTTCTTTTCATTCTTCTTCTTCTTCTTTTCATTCTTCTTCTTCTTCTTCTTTTCATTCTTCTTCTTCTTCTTCTTTTCATTCTTCTTTTCATTCTTCTTTTTCTTCTTCTTTTCATTCTTCTTCTTCTTCTTTTTTTCATTCTTCTTCTTCTTCTTTTCATTCTTCTTTTCATTCTTCTTCTTCTTTCTTTTCATTCTTCTTCTTCTTCTTTTCATTCTTCTTTTCATTCTTCTTCTTCTTCTGTTCATTCTTCTTCTTCTTCTTTTCATTCTTCTTCTTCTTCTTTTCATTCTTCTTCTTTTCATTCTTCTTTTCATTCTTCTTCTGCTTTTCATTCTTCTTTTCATTCTTCTTCTTCTTCTTCTTTTCATTCTTCTTCTTCTTCTTTTCATTCTTCTTCTTTCTCTTCTTTTCATTATTCTTTTCATTCTTCTTCTTTTTTCATTCTTCTTCTTCTTCTTTTCATTCTTCTTTTCATTCTTCTTCTTCTTTTCATTCTTCTTCTTCTTCTTTTTTCATTCTTCTTCTTCTTCTTCTTTTCATTCTTCTTTTCATTCTTCTTCTTCTTCTTTTCATTCTTCTTCTTCTCCTTTTCATTCTTCTTCTCATTCTTCTTCTTCTTCTTCTTCTCATTCTTCTTCTTCTTCTTTTCATTCTTCTTCTTCTTCTTTTCATTCTTCTTCTTCTTTTCATTCTTCTTTTCATTCTTCTTTTCATTCTTCTTTTCATTCTTCTTCTTCTTCTTTTCATTCTTCTTTTCATTCTTCTTTTCATTCTTCTTTTCATTCTTCTTCTTCTTCTTTTCATTCTTCTTTTCATTCTTCTTTTCATTCTTCTTCTTCTTTTCATTCTTCTTCTTCTTCTTCTTTTCATTCTTCTTCTTCTTCTTCTTCTTCTTCATCTTCTTCTTCATCTTCTTCATCGTGCCCCGTGACTGCCCAAATGAGTGAAGTGTGCGGTGATTCTAAGATCGACGGCACTCATCTGCATGTCATACTGACTGACAGTATTATTTCTCTTGCCCAGCAGACTCCAAGGGCATTTAAATTAAAGGTACAGTGTTCTGCACTAATATAAAGGCTCTCTGAAGCCTAGAAACCCTTTTAATAAGTTAAATTCGAGGCGAATAAATTCGCATCGAATCGAATTTCTGCCGCAAATTCGGCGAATCAGCCGAATCGAATTTTTGAATAATTCGCTCATCTCTACTCACTATCTTTAGGGTTCATGATGCACTGTTTACTAAGACCTATTTCAAACCCACCGATAGGAACAGTTATCTGCTAATAATTAGTGGACATCATCCCCAATGGCTGAAGAATATACCTAAGGGACAAATAATGAGAGTGAGGAGGAACTGTAGTCAGGATAATATCTTTCGGGTTCAAGCAGATATTCTGGTCGATAGGTTTGTGGATAAGGGCTATAAATTGGATAAACTTCAGGACATAGTGTATCAGGTTCAACTGATACCTAGAGATCAGCTGTTGGATGAGAAACCTAGACAGATCGTGAATGATAGACATCAGTGGGGATTTATCTCTAACTATCATATACAAATTAAGACTGTTGAGGCTATTTTTCATAAGCATTGGCATATTTTGAGGCTTGATAAAGTCATAGGGAATGTTATCCCTGAAAGACCAGTATTTATCTACAGGAAGGCTCCTACTATTGGTGATAAAAAATAGTTTGGAAAATTTTGGACCCTCCGAAGTCTTTGAAAATGTTTATAGATAGAAAAGGTTTTTTTCTCTTGTAAAAAAATGCACTGCATGTAGTTTGGTTAAATTCAAATTCAAGGGATTGAAACGTTTTATCTCTAATTCCAATCATAGGGAATTTGAGATTTCCTCTTTTTTGACCTGTGAGTCCACTTATGTTGTGTATGGTTTGGAATGTCCCTGTGGTCTAATATATATTTGGAGGACCAAGAGACAGCTTAAGGTCAGGATACTAGAACATTTGAGGAATATTAGTAAGAGTTATAAATACCATAGTGTGTCGTTACACTTTAAGAAACATCATAATTGTGACCTCACCGGTTCGAAATTTTGGGCTATTGAATCTATCCCTAAAGCTTGGAGGGGTTCCAATAGAGTGAGAGAGCTTTCTAAATGTGAAAATAAATGGATTTATTTAACTGAAGCTTTGACTCCTAAGGGATTGAATGTGGAACTGGACTTAAAATTGTTTTATTAGTGATGCTTAAGTTTTTAAATTTTAACTTTTATTTATTATTTTATTTATTTTTCATTATTTATTTATTATTATTTCTGGATGCAGATTAATAATATTTGTTTAGAATACATTTAGTATGGTATTGAATGTATAATTATGATTGTGTTGATTGTCATTGCATTGATATGTATTGAGATTGTGATTGTGCTGATTGCTATTGCATTGTAATTACCCTGTTATACTATCTGTACACAAGATGGCGTTGCTGCAGTGAGATAGTCCGGTGTATAGATTAGATCATGTATATTAGGGTTAATACATTTATATGGTTTTAGGTCTGTGTGTTATTGTCTCATACTGAGGTGATGGTAAACCAGGGCGAATGCCCATATGTCATATTTATATCTGTGTAATAAAGCATAATTTTTGGAAAATTTTCTGAGTGTCACGGTCTGTTCATTATGTAGCCGCTTTTCTGTGAATCTCTTTTCACAAACCCCCCTTTTTTGAATGCCTTTTTTGGCTACTGAATGGAAACCAAACATTGGGTGACACGATAACTTAATTAACAACCTCTTAATAACTACCTATAGTATTAATACATTGCACCTGGTGTTGTAATAATTGGGCTAATCAGGAAGGAGTTGTGTCTTTAAGAGCGCTCTCTATGCACTGTTGACCACTCCCTCAGAAGAAGTCATCTGACGAAACGCGTTAGGTGTGGCTATCGGTGACGTCATCATGCACGCACGCGTGGTTGCACCATCGCCATTTTTGTTGAGGGCGGGCGGGTGAGACGCCGGAGACATAGCCTGTGGCTTTTATAAAAATGTATGCTTTATTGTTTTATACTCATTGTGAGTGTGGTTTTAAGGGGGGATTTGCTACCTTATTAATAAATTAGCTGGATGATATTGCACAATGGCGAGTATTTTTTTTTTATTCACATGTACTAATTCGATATGAGAGGATTTCCTTAAAACCGGAGCATTGTGGTGGATTGCTGGATATTTAAAGATAAACTGGTTTATCACCAGCACATGGTGAGTGTGCATTTTGATGGGGTGTTCTGAGCACTGGATGTCACGTTGGTGAAGGAGGATCTCATTATTTCATTTATCAAAGGATCATTTATGGACTTTTTTTTTATGTGCACATATGTGGTGGTGGATTTATTTATTGATTTATTGATTTATTATTTATCAATTCATATGAATAATTAAATATTTATTTATTTGTTTATTTATTGGTGTAGGGTTGCGCTATTATTTGTGGTTGGTTGTTATCACATTTTTATTATTTATAGTGTACTATTATTACTAATAGCAGCTCCTACCGTGTATATTTTGAATTGAAGTACATTGGCGCAATGATGTTGGTTTAATAAGTGTTCTGTGATATATCTATACTGACACTGGTGGTGATCAACCTTTTGATATTGGTTCTAATTTACTATTGCTTTTCTTTAGCTGGTCTAAAACCGCTTTTGACCTAAAGGGATGCTTTTTGGATGCCATGGGCGTTTCTCAGTTTCCAGGCAGAAAGAACAGTAAAAATGCAGACAGGGCACAGGACAAAGCACTAGGGACAAAATGTATGTGAAATGGTTTGATACAGTAATGTTATACTATGAGATTTTAGTGTATTGAGTGAATGTCACCTTTTAAAATTTTTTAATTTCCTGCCGGTTCCAACCCCCATACGTCCCGACGCTCGCAGGGAATGGAACCCGGAAGATGGATGCCAACATCGGCCGGAGCAAAATGGCCAAGGATGCTGCAGGGGGGACATCGCGGGAGCGAAGGACAAGGTAAGTGCTGGAGAGATCCCTGAGCAATGCTGCAGAGTAATCCTGAGCAGGGGCGGACTGACCATTTGAGCACTCGAGCACAGCCTGAGGGCCCGGGGTCAGTAGGGGGCCCCATGAAATGCCCTTGGTACCATTTTTATAGGTTTTTTTTAGTGTGGGCAAGGACACAGGGGCTTCATGATACCCTATTGCCCGGGAATTGTCAGTCCGCCACTGATCCTGAGTATACTCAGGGTTACCGCTTTTGGTACTGAAAGTTAACCCCGAGCTACACTCGGGAATGCCGCCAGGGGGGTTAAGGGTGATGGAGGTTACACATTCCTATCCTTAACAGGGAACAAAGGACACTCCCAAGGTGCAGTATGTACCAGGTGTGGACTGACCATTTGGAAACTCGGGCACTGGCCAAGGGCCTGGGGGGAGATGAGATGCCCCTGCTACCTTTTTCATAGGCTTTTTTGGGCAAGGACACAGGGGCCCTATGATCGCCTATTGCCCGGGGGCCCCATGAGTTGTCAGTCCGCCCATGGTATATACTAATATAAACATGTATTAAGATGCAGTAATACACTCACATGTAGTAAATGAATAAAATCATCAGATGCAAGCTTCACTTGTCAGCTGAACTCACTATTCATGTCTGCCCAGAGCCAAGCCCCTTACGCATTACATCACGCCCACGTGACTTCATCAGATTGATTTTACATATATGGACTCATTATGGTTGTTGTAGTCAGCTATGTTGCTCTTTTATTTTTTTGTAGCCATTATTTAGCAGAGCTACATCACTTATTTATTTTTAACTTGCTTTACTATTGTGGGAACACAATTTGATGTTAGCTGAAGCCACTATCTTCACACTATTTTTATTTTTCCTTTCTGCTTGTATGCATTTTGTTTTTTTTGTTTGTTTTTTTTTTCCATTTTTTTTTTTTCCCTCTCTCATTATTGAGGTAGCGCAGGGGTTTCACTCCTATATTCATCCCTATATATGGCCCCTTAACCAGACTTGGGATGAATTTTTTATGTATTATTGCGCCACAACAAGGAAAACTGAATTTTGTCCATCACTGAGTAAGGAGAATGTGCAGTGGGGAAGTATTGCTAGCAAAACTTTATTTTTTGTAGGGAGGGGGTTAAACAAACCCTAAGGCTACGTTCACACTAGCGTTGTGTGCAGGCATCAGAAAGGCGTTTGGGAAGCGTTTTTACCGCTTCCCAAACGCCTCGGACAATTCTGCACATTGCAGCACATGGTGCTGTTCTAATGGGAGTGTTAGCGTCTCGTCGTGGCAAAACGGATACCTCTGGTTGAGTCAGGAGGCGTTGAAGCCTCCTATTCTAGTCTATGGTGCTGCTCCGCAAGGTTGCAACGCATTTGCCAGGCGTTTGTGGAGCGCTAACACCATTCAAACTTCATTATAGGCGTTTTAACGCTCGGCAAACACCTAGCAACTGCCGCTGAACTGCGCATGCGGCGTTTGCAGAGCATTTGCCAATCGTTAAAAAAACGCTCCGCAAACGCCGGACCAACGCTTGCCAAACGCTATAGGGGCATTTGGCAAGAGTGGGTAAAACAGTCAAGTGTGAACGAGCCCTTAAACTGGAATGGGGCTTTAAAATTATTAGTTTGCAAGAAACATTGTAGGATTGTGGCACCTCAAATGTTGTAAATATTGGGGTGGCGCAATAAAAGAAGCTCACGGGACGTATCAACAATACCACATCCTTGATGCTAAGCAATGTTGTAAGGTAATTCATTGGTGACTAGGCCTGCAGACCCAGTTAAAAACACTTTCCCGAAACCAGGCAAAAAAAACCTCTGACAGAAAAAAAAAAGAATCCGAATCTTATAATACTCCTCAAATTACAGCAAATTAAAAAGCTTTTAGCGGCTCTGAAGCATCTGACAGAGGAGTGACACTGTAATAGTTTGCTTGTTTTTCTAGCTCTTTCCTTTCAGCTTCAGCCCGATTCTCTACATAATCCCAGCCTTGTTACTAGGCAACCTCACAGTTTATTGCTTAGCTATTTATGACCCAATTCTCATTTGTCATAATTTGTTATAATCAGAGGAGATCATAAATAAAATCATCAGACAATAAACTGACTGGGCCGGCAAGGAGGATTTATCAGCCCAGGGGCTGCGGCGTGAAGTTACCAGTATCACACCCTTTTCATACATGGATGAGCTCATGGTAATGCTTTCTGTCACTGCCTTTGGTGCTGGAGTACTGTGTTTATGATGGAGGAGGGCACTTAACTGTCGCTTTTCAGAATTTGCAGAGCTTAAATGTACACTTCATTCAGACTGGAACACTTAGCAACGAAATACATACAGGGAACACAGCGTGCCTACAAAGACTTTTGTTCCTCATCATGGCAAGGCTTGTGTATTGCGGCCTCCTGGTTGAGTAAAATCCTTTCATCACCGATATCCTGTGACTAGGAACACCTAATCCTAATACAACATTTCTTCAGAAATCCTGGCTTTCTTCCAATTTCCTATAGTAGAAAAACTGCCTTAAAGTGCATGTAAACCCTAAAAATGAAATGTTCTTATTAGCTTCCTTTTGGTCTAACAAATCTGCCATTGAAGGTTTTTTTGTATTATCTACTGGAAAAGTGCAAAAAATTCCGGTTAATTCTGCCAGAAATCATTGAACCTCACAACCATCTTTGTAAAAGAAGGGGTAATGGAAATGAGGATGGGGGAGGAGCTGAGGAGTGGTCTATGTTCTTTGTAATGTGTTAGGCAGGGCTGACAACACAAGCCCAAAATATTGTGTTGTCATGTAGGAGCACACTATTTCTGGCACATCAACAGCACGCCAGAAACAAACTTCTGTACTTGCAATGTATTTAAAAGGGATAAAACATGAAAAATGTACATATACTGCAGAAATGTATGAAAAACAAAAAAAATAAAAAAAATGTATGTATATATATATATATATATATATATATATATATATATTATATACACACACATATATAAATAAAATACACACACACACACACATATATATATATAATATACACACACATGAAAAATGTACATATACTGCAGAAATGTATGATATATACATATATATATATATATATATATATATTTTTTTTTTTTTTATTTTTTATTTTTTTTTGTCTTGATATATACTTTAAGCATTACATTTAAACCCAAGAAAAAGATGTAATATTTCGCAACTTTCCAGTCTTTAGATGTGGTGACTGCATTTTCTTTCTTCGTTCGGTGTGTGAGAACTAGCATCAAGGGTAGAGCTTTTACAGCACACAGCCACTCGCTTTCTTCTTTTTTAAGGGCCTTTTAGCCCAATTTTATTTAAAGGAAAGTTCCATACAATACATTTCCCACACAGGGGTATCCACCATCAATACAAATCAAACAAATATTCAGCCTCCTGACTCTCTCAGGTATACAGCCCTCTTGCTGCTCTGGCTCCCACCTCTCCTAGGTGGAGGCCTCCTGAATCCTGGGCAATGACCTCCTGTCTGCTGGAGTTGAGCCTAGAACCATGGTTTGGCCTCTACAAAAAGGCCTGCACACCTGTGCAATTAGTGTGCTAGGGGGTCTGAAAACATGGACCCAGGATTGGAGATTTCATCCCTCCCAAATCACTTTGAAATCTCCAGGCCCCAGGTCCCAAAACGGGCTTTACGAACCAAAGAGGAAACTGACAAACCAGTTACCTCTGCATTAAGCAAACTGCCTGGAGCCCCTCAACCTGTATAGTTGAGAATCCTGGGTTATAACCTTGCTATAGACCATGGCAGGATACCACACTGCCATAGGGAGTTTTCTTTATTTTCATCTGGTGATTCTGCCAGTAGCATGCGTCCTGTTTTAGGGTATTGTCACCTTGGCTACACAAATCGCTTTGCTACTTTGCATGCACTACCTCTATTTCTATTCTGGCTGACCAAGAATGCCTACAACTTTTTACACCCCTGTGAGAAGATAGGAACCCCATCAGGCCATCATGATTTCTAATGGATTTCTGATGGTAAGTGAGAGTTTGTCACCTTGTTACTGACCGGATCACCAGGTGAAAATAAAGGAGAAAAGGCTGAAAAATTAAAACTGACATAGCCAACACATTTAAGGGCTGCTATTCTGCAAAATAATACATTTTCGATTTTGGGTTTAGATACTTTTGAATATATTTAGAGTAGTTTTGTAAAACAGGTATCTAGAGATACATGCATTTAGTCCTCATGCACACTTGCCGTTTTTACAGCTGATGTTTTTTGCTTTTGACATTTTTTTCTACAGCTAGTAACCCCCCCCCCCCCAGCATGTTATCCTATGTGTCCATGCACACATAGACTGTAATCAATGTTTTTTGGCTGGAACATTTTTTGGCTGGAAAAAAAAACCCAGGACTAGTGGGTTTCTAGAGGAGTTTTTTTAGCTCTAATGCTGAGAAACGCAGAAAAACATAGTAAAACGATGCAAACCGGTATTTTTGGACTTTTTTTTTTACAAAAAAAGCTATAAAATGCAAATGCAGAAAAACGCTGGAAAACGCCACTAAACACGGCAAAATGCCCCTAAACACTAATGCAAAAACACTTAAAAAAGCTTAAAAACATACATTTTTAACGTGACTACACAGCTAACGTTACCAGCATTATCAAAACATCCCATGTGCATGAGGACGTTTTCCTTTTGAGCTCAGCTGGACGCAATTACAAACTCCAGCCTCCACAATTAAGTACAAGTCTACTTCTTTCCTTCTCCCATGCCTATTGATCCATCAATATCTGTAGGCTGAGCAATAGATATGAAAAGTTTGATGGTATGGGTCAACTTCAGGAACTTTAGTTTGAACATTTGCAACTAATGATTTGTTTCTGCACTCATGAAGATATGTAAAGCTTTATGGAGACATGTTCTGAGAGAAGTATGAAGGCTGTCAGGGCAGACCTTCTGAAAATGCTTTGTCTCAGCAAAGGTTTCCTTTAATTGAGTTTACCCTAAGTACAGTATATGCACAGGTCCACCCCTTGCAGTTTGATGTCAATGCAAGTGTTCAAAAGTACGTAGAATTCAAAATAATAAAAGCACCTTCTAAATTTTAGTTCCTGAACTCATTTTGAGGGAAGCCATGTGCTAAAACTCTGTTGGTGTGTGAGTGTTTGCCATGAGCTGACAGCTGTAAGCGATTGGTAAACTGCTTTAGTGCTGAAAGTGACAGGTTGCTCCTGCAACCTATTATTTTGAGCACTGTTCAAAGAAGAGAGAAGCCTAAAATTAGGAAAAATAGCACCTGTAATAAAAC